TTATAAAACATCACAGAGATATAAGTCAGTGACAAACACCTCACACCCACGACAGTGCATCGCTTCTGTCCTTTATGGAGGTGTAAATAAAACAAAGGAAACAACTTACTGGGTCTGTTTGTATCTCTGATTTCACTTAGATCCTTGTAGGAGAACAAAGAGGAATGTAAGTGAATGAGGAGATTTTTGGGTGGGGTGGGTTCAAAGTTCAGACTTCGTCCTGGACCTTTCTACGTATTAGTGTCCTACTGTCCCCTGACCAAACAAAGTGGTTTATCACTATTTCAACACTCTGCTCCTGGAGAACAGTGAAATATCGTCTCACTTCTTGTGAGACGATGTCAATAACCCACCAAAAATGTCCATAACTGAAAGAACATGTCGATAACCCACCAAAAATGTCCATAACTGACCAAACAGCTGTACGTGCATACCATCGCACCGACTACCACAGCACCAAACTATTTTTGCCTTATCACCATGTGTTTACCAGTGCTCCATATACTGCTCATCGCTTCTCATTCCTCACTCTGCACATTGTAAATTCTTCTGACAGCTGCTGGGTCAGAAAATGCACAGACAGTTGCTCCTGCTGCTGCTGTTGTATTTGCAGCTACATGCCAATGGTTTATATATTTACCAGGTGAAGAATGGGGTAGGGTCATGGTTCAGTGGGCAGTGTTTCCCTATAGCAGACCGGTCATTTACTCCCATCAGGAACCATGTATCAGTAGTCAGACTGGCAGGACTGTGAGTTGAAGAGGTAGACTATACAGTGGACTAAATACCCAATCCATGATCTATAATCTGACGTCTAATCTGAGCATTTCCAATGCAAACAATTTAGGATCGATTTGAAGAACAATAAAAAAAACCATATAAAAATAATAACATGGTCATCCATGAATACTGTATATATGTTCTCTCTAACTTTAACATGTGCATGTGTCGAGAATGATCCAGTCACATACATTATTAAGCTCCACATGGTTGAAGATGCTCAGTGTGAAGCCCTGTGACTGTGGATGGTTTTATTGAATGGAGACTAAAGCTAATTCAGCTTAATTGACTAAACGGTCCACTCCAGCCCAGACCCTGAAAATGAATCAAGTGGTCCAGTAGAAGATGAACTGATTAGAGAGTAGAGTAGGTCCCACTGCTGCAGACCTGTGTCTTCTAACAAATACCTGAGATGTTCTGTGTCAGGAGGAGGGGCCGGGTGGTGCAGTAAGTTGGCCTATATATCTGCTGACATGCTGCTGCTGCTGCACGGGGCTTTGTACCCATGTGAGGATGCCACTGCTGTGGGCCATTGTCATGCAGTTATGGCAGCAGATTGGTACTGGTGTTGTGGTTCTGTCTGGTTCCAGCACATTTTGAACATTTATTTATTTAATAATAGCCAATATTTATTACTCACTCTGGCTCTGAAGTGTGTCCTGGACCCAGTGGCCCAGATAGGACACTTGTAATGTGTGCAATGTGTTCTCAAAGCAAAGTAGGCCACCGTGGATGATTTAGGTGCGTGATTATACGTGCATGTGTCAACGTAAACGTATATATATATATTTTTTTTTTTTTAAAGTGGGTCAAAAATAGGTTGTAAAAACCCGTCAGTATCAGACACAGAATGTGAGCAGCAGTGATGGATTGCTCCTGCAGCTAGGCTACTGTACTGATACGTTCACGGACAGTGTGGATGAAATGCCATCATTGTTAGGGATTTATGACATCAATGACACATGGAATCAGCACAGGATGAAGAGTTGATGTAATGAAGCCCAGTCGATGTCCGTGTCCAACACCGCTGCGTGGCTCACCTCTCTGACTGTCCCCAGATCTGCTCCGGTGACGACGACGAGCTCCAGTCCATAGATGCTCTTCTCTGGACAGCGGACACACACACCGGTGGCCCCGCTGCCTTCACATCAGCCGTGCATCTTTCAGCTCGCACGTAACAAAGCAATCATCCAGGGACATCTTCATCCTCAGCGTCGACGTCTGCAAGCGCTGAACGTGAACGTGCCTGAGGATGTGCGCGTCCCCCGGAAAGAGTCCCCCCCCCCGTCTCCACTCCCCCCTCCTTCAGAGCAGAACCCCTGCTGCTCTGTTCTACTCTGCTCTTTTCTGCTACCATCTACCATCCTCCTCCTCCTCTTCCTCCTCCTACGGTGTTCTAAACAATAATGACCTGATAAAGTCCCACGTCCACGCAGTCCAGGGAAAGTGAATGATATTGACAAATGAGACGTTTACACTGCTGATAAAACCTGTTTTTTTAAAGGTGCACTACGTAGAATTTAGGTAAAACATCAGACCACAAACACAACACAAATGTCACCACCTATGGCCTAGCTATTAATGCTTGCAGTGAAAAATTACGATTGTTTAAGTGAAATGTAAATGCATTGCATTAAACCGCGTCATTACATACTTACAGTATTAGTGTTAGACAAAGTTGGTCAAGAAACCTTCAAAAATAACAAATTAATTTATATAATTTAAAATTTTTAAATGTCCCCTTTCAAAGATTCCCCCTTTTTATTATTTATTTTAGTAGTTAGCCATAACATTCTTTTTTTTTAAAAAAAAAACTAATAAAATAAACTAATACACATTATTACAAACCTGCATATAAAGTAATCCACAGGGACAGGGTTATTTTAGATATCACTCATCTATGTTTCTTCATTGGCGTGAAGACCCTGCCCAATTTTCAGAAATAGAAAACTGTGTGTGTGTGGGTCCCCGGTTTATCGCAGAATGGGATTAGGGGGAGACAAAGTTAATGAGATTATCTCAGTGTTTGTCTAAGTATTAAATGCCAGAGCAGCCAGAGGATGTGGAGGAGGAAACAGTTTCAATAATCACTTTGGCGACCACAGCTGCAGAAATAGAAGTGGGACTTGTCCCTAAACCATATTCCATAGAAGAAAGAGATGAAGATCTGTGTGAGGAGGATGAGTCTGAGAATCTGAGTCATCACAAACATGACGCATTTGAAACCAACACCTGAGCAGCGATTTACTGAGCAGCGCTGTTTAACATTCACCTGGGTGTTTGTCACGGCTGAAACCTGCAGACGTCCCGACGTCCTTTATTCACTGTTCCAGCTGGTCGCATAAAGCTGATGAGGTCCCTTTTACCACAGCACCCTCTACTGGACTCAAGGTTAAACGTAATCACAGTGTGACTTCAGACGCCACAGGTGACCCGAGTTACTCCTAATTAGCAGCTCGACCTGGTCCGGGTGGACAACAGAGAGAAAGGTGGTCTAACACTTTGTTCATTAATTGACTGACATCTTCTTTTGCCAGAAGATGGCAGTGATGGGACAACCCTATTCTAGTACTATTATCTGCAGCTAAAACAGATAGAATTTTATCAATCCTTCTGGAGTTCCCTTGGAAATATTAGGGATTACAGTGATCAAGGAAGAAAAAAACAAAAAAACAACCCTGGCAGGGATTAGAACGGAGTCTGTCACCTTGGTCGTCTGGGCCCTTGAGGGCCAGGACCTAAACATGAATGAGACAATTAAGTTTTCTAGCCAAAAAACTGACCATAACAGATTATAATTTAGTACAAACTTATCAACCAGAAGAGAGGCTTGGATTATTTTAATCCAATAGGACAACCAAAAGAGAGGCTTGGATTATTTTAATCCAACCTGACCGATCAGATCAGAGATCAAAGTTAGAGCAATGCACGAATGTGGATTAAAAATGTAATACGATGTAAACCATTCATTACATAACTTTCCTGTTGAAGACACTTAAGTTGTAAATTATTTACTGTAAATTATCATATTTATATTAGCTAATACTAGACTTTAAAAACTCAACATCCTAAGCGATCAATCAAACCACAACTGTCTACAAAAATAGGCTATGTCCATCACTGACGTCTTCTGGCAAATGCACAAACAGACAGGAAGTTAATTATAACTTAATGTCCAGTACAGGATGTTCCTCTTTCTCTTTAAATCCACATTTGTAGTCTTAGAAGCATTTTCTAGGGGGGTTGCTGGAGTGTCTGGTTTTTAAAGGACATGTAGATGAGTGCAGAAGAAGAAAGGGTTAGTGTTAGTGGTCCCTGTCCCTGTCCCTGCACCACCCACTGATCATACAACACTGTGACACAGTTAGCTCAGATTAAACAATAATACATTCAATCAAAACAAGTCCTGGAGGGAGGAAGACATTTTCTCAAGACAAGGCTGACATCTAGTGCCACAGTGATGAAATGAACCTCTTTCTGAAAGATCTGCTCTATGCTAGTGTCAGTGTCATTTTAACCAATTAACATATTTCATTAAAAAACAGAGAGCACTAACAGCCCAGAAATGATGTTTTCCCACATTTTGTGGAACTAAGTTGAAAAGAGATATCATATATTGAAGGATAATTTTCCCTATTGAAAGAATTGTATAAGTTGCAAAACAGTACAAGAGGCTGGAAGTACAGTATATCTTTATCTCATTGTAAGCTCTTAAGCTTGGACATGCAAAGGAGTAAAACCTATTCATCACAAAGTGCAGTGTTTAATATAATTCCTTATGTCATGTTTATATGTAATCAATAACACACACACACAAAAGCTTTTTAAACTTGTGAAATAAGTCTGTGGATTTTTGTTGTCTCTACTCAAGTGCTGTCTGACTGACCTGGTGAGAAAAGCAGAACCTGAACCCCTTCCACCTCTCCCTCCTCTCTGGCCATTAACCATGAGTTATGGCACTGCGGCCATCACAGCCAATTGTCTGGATGATGTGCAGACTGTGCCTCACTCACCAGGGTCGCAGCTCCTGGTCAGCTTTGAGTCTCAACGCAGGTTAGCAGAGAGTTTTGGTGACTGTCTAGGACATTTTAGTTCCCACTTATTCAATAGCTAACATTTAAACTACATTCTTTGTCATGACTCCAGATTACTGGTGTTCATTTTAGATTTTTCTCTTCAATAGTACATTCTACAAAGACGGTCAATGTTTTAAAATGGTTTTTGTTTCCTTATGTGGGACGACTCTGTGGTGTGTAGAGAGAAGGAGGGAGGAGAGTCGGAGAGAAAGAGGGAAGGAAGGAGAGGGGGAAAGAGAGAGAGTGAGTGAGAGAGCGACAGAGAGAGAGAGAGAGAGAGAGCAGTATTGGCTTCCAGGAAAACTCCTATTACTGTATCACTGGGAAACCTGCAAGTGGATGTGGCATCAAGGCGATGCAGATGCAAGACGCAGAGGCTGACTGTCAGACACTGCACTGAACAGGACAGTAAGTGTTACTAAATCATTGTCTCTGCTTTTAGTCTGGAGCTTGGAAATGAAATAGCAGGCTGCAGTGATGCACAGAGCTAGCTGAGGCCAGCTAGGCTACTGCAAAACAGCAGTCAGAATATTTTAGACCTGGTAGAACAGTGGTGTTATATTACATTTGTAGAACTTTAGGTTTGTTTTTGAATGATTTCAATGATACCCAATAGAACGACACTTGAGCAGATACACACTTAGTGTGTTAAAGTGTATGTTTAAACCTGAACTTAAGTCTGTGCATGTGTAATGTTACTTGTTACACGCCTCACTGTTTAAACAAAAACAAAATGCTTGTATTGTATGGATTTATTGTTTGGTGAAGATAAAATACTTCATTAGAACTTGATATACCTGAAGGTCTATCGAGCTGGTCAAAGCAATTTTATGTTCCAACCTGTCAGCTACAGGTCTTGAAATTAAGGTTGCCCAAACTTTTGCACACTCATTTCTTACATCTCATTTTATTTTTTTAAAAACTACGTAATGCTGCTCTAAGAATTTCTCACGTCTACATCTTTGTAGGAAAAGAAATCTTGTTGCTGTGTTCTTCCCTTATAAAGGTACAGCAACTTATCATAAAATCTCAGAGGGGTGTCCAAACCTTTGCATACCACTGTATATCTAGAGGGTTGTGGGTTTAATTCCAGACCTGATTGAAAGCCCTGCTTTAGTGCTGTCATTCCGACCACATTTAAGAAGGTTCTGGTGAAGTATTGATGGAATACATGCATTTCTTAGATACAGTCTTAGTTTATAACTGTTAAGTTTAACTGATAAGTTTTGAGTTCTTGGCTCTATTTGGGAAACCTCGTGTTTGTGCAAAACAATTTTTAATGCCTGTTATTCAGAATTTTAATACAGCAATGTGGTTTAAGAAATTAGATCAATCCGTGATTAGAGCGAGAGATTTTGTAACTCCTTATTAAAAACTGGAGAATGATCCAAAAAACCCAAAACAACTAATGACTAATATAACCAAAACTACATGCACATTAATGGAACAGGAGCTTGTACTTCTCTCTCTGTGTGTCCTGTGACAGTATCTCTGTCCTTGTTCAGAGAGCCAGGCATTTATTGGCATGTTGAAGCTTTGTGCACAGAGAAAAGCTGTTGATCTTATTAGAATGGTGGATTCAAAGGGAACTAGCTGAATCGGAGGAAACACACACCGGCACAAACATGAGTGTGTACCTAAACACAACTTAAAAAAAATCTATTCCTCAGGCTGATGTTTAGTATTTGAGTGGATGGACTAAAACAGGAGCCTGTGTTCCCACTAATTAACATTGAGCCTGTGTTTGCAGCCTGATGCTCAGAGTAGTAACAGCCGACCTGTAATGTTAATGATTGATCAAAACTCTAACACTCACATCTATAACAGCTGGTTGCTAAGAGCCTGAGGAGACTGATGTGTAAAAACAAACATGACTGTAGAAGGTGAAATGCATAAAAATAATTACATTTTTTGGAATTTTTTTTAAATCAACGGAACAACTGTTTTGTGCTTTGTTTATGTGGTTAATTAACATTTTAATATTAGTTGTGTTTTACTTGTTCCTCTGTTTAATGAAATAATTTAAATGCAGACTCACTCCTCACCCAGTCTGCTGGGACAGTCTCACCAGTCTGTGTTCCTGGTCTACAGCACATGCTCACAGGGGTTGCCTGGCACCTTAGAAGATGGTGGGACTGAGAAACCGTTCCACATGGGAACCGTTGCTGCTCAAGACGTCCTGCATCAAGTCCTGTGCCAACGGCTGCTCTCTGGGCATCACTGCAAACCTCACCTACGCCAACGCTGACATAGAGCCTGTAGAAGGTAAATGTTGGGATGGTAACCTGTCGATTGTGGTAGACTGCATTTCGACCTGTTAGTCACATGTTTCAGTTATACCTAATGTTATTTAAGAAAACTTCAGTCTCAGTCTAAGAGTCTCTTAGATATACATCGTGTAGAATTAAATAATGTTTAACGTTTTCCAACTTTACGTGTACAAGTTGATGGCCTTTGTGGGGTGGTTGAACATTCCCCCTCCTCACCCTCACAAGGCTGCATTGAAGGATGACATTTGGACCTGGTGCAGAAAAAACAAAAGCTATTCGGTTTGGGTTAAAACATGAGGCATATTTTATAAATGTATAAAAATAACTTTTTTTATCTGAATTAAAGAAATAAAATAAAATTCTAAAAGACTCATTTTACACAGTGTAGCTTTAAATAAAGTGTAAAGCATAATTAAACACACCAACTTTAATATATATTATAAATACAAAATGTAGTTTACTTATAGCAGTGATACTGCAGGTAGTATGGTATATCAGTTACAAATCTTTTAGCAATTTTTTTATCCAAGCAAACATGCATGAGTGAATGACTTTTTCAATAATTACAATTAGGCCCATTTCCTAAAATTAAAAAAGTTTAAATGAAGCAAACGTCTGAAGTTGTTTCACATTGTTTCATGTATTTGCAGGGGTATTTGTGTACCCCCTGGGGGAAAAGGAGGTTGTGGTGGGCTTTGAAGCGTCCATCTCAGGCCGAATGGTTGGGGTCCAAATCGAGAGCAGGGGGAAGCTGAAGGACTGCTGTTTGGACTGCTGCCCTGGACCTGGTCTTGAAGGCCACTGTGAAAACGGTCAGCAGTGGGGCTGCTGTGGGGGCTCCAGCCATGATATTCAGTGTACTAAGGGTGAGGAAGGAGAAATGCAGTGTCATTTTAATCACCATTAAAGCAATACGTTTGATTAGCAGCAGTTAGCCAGATTGATAAATGCTTTATGATGTGAGAGTATGCTTTTTAGCTTCAAAAAACCTCAGAGCTGATGATGAATATTTAAAGCAAGGATAAACGTCCAAACACCACCATGTAAATTCAATATCAATAACCAAGGATCTACTTAGATTTAAGCTCAGAAAACCAACCATGTTATTGGATTGCTCTATATTATTGGCAGAAAAAATGTTTAAATGAATGTGAGTGTTCATACTCAGTCCTATATTTTGCCTCACTACGGATAAAAAGGATCTATATATTGTTGGCTGCCTGCCTGATGATAAAGTGCTGTTAATTTCACACAAGCTGTATATCATCACAGAGCGAGGCATTTATTTTTGACAGAGGGCGAAATGTACAGAACAATAAAGGTATATATGGTTAATTTTCTGCCTATCGTTAATTCAATTTGAATATTTTTCTGTTGAAAGGTCTTTGATATGTAAGTAAATACAATTGAACATTTCTAGGGCACCTCATCCTGGATGAAGACCTTGAACGAACCACCTTCATCGTTGGCACAGGGGTCATCGGTGCCATGGATATTGTGTCCATCATTATAAGCACCACACTTGAACTTCCCACATTAGAAAATGGAGCCATCCACATCACCTACCCGTCCTTACTAACTCCTGTGGTCACCGGTCAGATGACGGCAAGCAAAAGTGAAAATAGCGGGAAGTTGGAAGAAACAGGGTATTAATACCACCAACCAGCAGTACAAGTGGTCTCTCTGTTTGAAGAAATAAGATGCAAACTAAAAGTAAAATGTCTTTGTCTTTACTTTTATATATATATATATATATATATATATATAAAAAAAAAAAAACAAAAAAATTTTTTTTTTTTTTTTTTTATATATATATATATATATTTTTTTTTTTTTACTCTCTCTTCCTTAGAGCCACCCAGTTGTTTCGGTGCCACCTCAGGAAAACAAGACCGTGTCCTGGGCTCGGAGCAACAGTGCGCTCATGCCATCTTTATGGGTCCAGCTGCCAACCTGGCACCATATGAGCTCAACTTTCAGCTGCTTGTCAGAGGCGCCTGTCTACTTGCCGGTAACCACATGACCTGGCCACTGTGACATAGTGGAACAGTGGATGACCATCTATAGCTCAACCAAATATTAGATATTCAGTAGCTAGTACACTGTATCTTTAACACAACCTTACATTTAACATGAATGTTGGACCTGAAAACAAGCACCTCGAAACAAAAGAGATTCTGCAACGTATGGTAAAAAGCTTTATTATTATTTACTTCTTTTGCAGGCCTGGAGAGTCCCACCCACGCTCTAAGAGCAGATGCAGACCCAAGTGCCCAGAGTGCTTCTGCCACATACATCACTCTGGCACAGGAGCATCCGTACGACCGACATATAGAGATCATTTTGCACCTAAGTGGTAGGGAACAACGAGCTGTTCAACAAATGTCTGCTCTGTGTAGAATTCTGTTCATGATTCTCCTACACTCCAACACTGCTGCAGAACCCCACAGTCCACTGGTCATCTTAGAGAGAGGCAGACTCTCCTTCAGCCAGTATGAACAGCAGATTTCCTCCCGTCGTGATTTCATTCGCTGCACCCGTAAAGATTCAGAGCCTGAAAAGAAGGTCCTCGAATTAAATTAAATTTCTATGATGACATCATGCACACCAGTCTTCGCTCTGTTTGAAAGTGGCTAAAAGCTGCCTCTCCAATGACTTTACCTTCAGCTTGAGTTTGTGAGGAAGCGGTACCACAAGGACATTTTGAACAGTCCAGTGTTGATGCTCAACTTCTGCCCTGACCTGCTGTGTGAACCACAGGAGCTGCACAAAGCTACCAGAGAACTGCTGTTCCTCGTAGATCGGAGCGGCAGCATGAGTGGCAACAACATTCAGCGTGTTAAGGTGATCTGTTTCCAACATCAGACGTAGGAGCCACAGATTAGCAATCAGACTGTTTTGACTCCATTCTGTCTCCATCCATTTGGTATCCACAGGAAGCCATGGTGGTAGCACTGAAGAGTCTTCCTTCTGGAACCATGCTCAACATTGTGGGCTTTGGAACCACCATCAAGCCTCTGTTCACCACCAGCAGACTCTGCACCGACGTGGGCTTCAAATACTGATCTTACCTTGTGAAAAATCTGATTTAGCCTTTCATTTACATTTTTTTTCACCAAGTAATGATAGTCACTATCATAATCAAACCCTATAAAGGTTTGAGACCAACGTTTTCCCTGGTAACCTCAAAATACTGTTACCATACAAGTGTAATTACCAATGAGTGTGTTTAACGTAGTAATTGTAAAGTAACACCAGTGTTTTCACTGAGAGAGCAGTGATTTAGTTAAGGTGGCACGGTGGTGTCTGTCGTTCATGTTGCCTTGCATTTGATTTGTTTTGATTTTGAGCACGTGGAGATCTAAAAACACAAGGATCTGACTTAATGAATCAGCTACATAACAGCAAGACTAAACATGCAGTAGGATAATTATGCATGTTGATTCATTTTCCTTATTTATCATTATTCACTGTTCACAACAGTGCATCTGTGTGTGTGTTAAAACCTGCCAGATTAATCCATGAAGTGCAACATTTCTAGAAAAGGAAAACGCAGCAGCTGGAGAATTTAGAGCACACTGTTGAAAGCTGTTTTTTTTTCAGGACTCTCTGTTCTGCTTTGTTCACTCACTAATCAGGCAATAGGTCAGATCTTTGGGTTGCCTTAGTAGCAGAGTATCAGGTATTACACGGAGCAGAAGCTACAAGAACAAACAGTCTTTACACATGCACCTCTCCATATGGTGACCTTTCATGCACTTTCACTGTGGCAGGAGATGTGGCTCCATCTCCTCCTCCTGTCAGCCGTGTTTGTCCACCGTGTTTTAAAGCAGGTGCTAATGCATGTATGTTTGCTCACTCTTTATGGGACAGGCACTGATTAAATTATTTCCTTCGCTCAAAAGGGTAATATTAAATGTTGAATTTATCTTAGCTGGACATGTGACCACGCAGCTCTGATTGTCTCTCTCTCTCTCTCTCTTTCTTCTTTTGGTATGTTCACACAGGTTACTCTCATTCAGGCATTTGAATATGTTCAGAGGATGAGAGCTGACATGCGGGGCACTAACCTCCTGGGGGCACTGTCCTGGGTCTACCAGCAGCCTATGCAGCGCTCGTATCCTCGACAGGTCTTTGTTATTACAGATGGCTCTATCGGTAGTGTTGCCAAAGTGCTGGAGCTGGTCCGGAGAAACACATGCACTGGCAGGTTTGAAGACACAAAATGTACAAAAAAAGTGTTAACATATTTTAAACAAAGCATCTGGATACAACCATGCAAGCTAACAAGATCATAAATAGAAAACATAAAAACCATCTATCTAAATTGGTAAAAAAAACCAACAGGTGTCTTTTAAAAATCCTTGTTTTTCATAAAAACTGTTTTATTTATCGATTTGTTTACAACTGTAATAGACTTATGAAAACCCATGTATAAAGAATTTTAGTGTTAGGAGGGAATCTTTTAAACCAAATTAGTATTATCAGGTTCAAGGAGAACATGGATACAGAGTGCAGGCAGGATGAGGTGATTAATATGACAGTGGCAAAGCGCAGGAGAAAAAACAGGACAAGACAGGTACTGGTGGTCATGTGAAAGTGAGAGAGAAGCACTATGAGAAAAATTTAAATAAAAAAAGACGAGATTTTTCTTTGGCCACGCCCAGTAATTCAGTTAAGTGCTCAGTGCTGCAGTAAGGATCCACCCCTCTGGTTTTGCCCAGACCCTCAGGCATGGCACCGTAACTTCATTTATCCTTCATTAGTATTCTCGTGTTCAACTGACTCTCTCTGCTGTATTTTGGCTGTTGTGCAGTCAGTCTAACAGTGGTATGGCATTTAATAGATTTAATTTTACCTCTGTTAATGAGTGATGATTAATCAGGTGTAACATTCATGTATGGTGTTTTCATAAACACAAGATTTATGGCATTTGGCCTTTTTTTATTTCTTGCTTTATTCTAACTCTCATGTAGACAGAGTAATCTCTCGAGGCAAATACTAGAAGCGTTGAACTCTTTGGGTTTTACTTTAACCTGTAATTGATGTCCAATCCCAGAGGTCATATTTTGTACAAATACACGTTTGTAAATTCTGAATACACACGTTATGTGTTAAAAAACACAAGATTTTGCAGCACATTACCTGTGTATTTGTATATTTCTCTCCTTTGCAGATGTTTTGGTCTTGGCCTTGGTCCTCGAGCTTGCAAGCGCCTCCTGCAGGGCGTGGCCAGATTAACAGGAGGGACCACAGAATTCTTGGACGATGAGGAGAGGCTCCAACCCAAGGTGAGCAGCTCTGCAATACTCCCACCTACTGGAAGAAAAATGAACTAAACAATCTTTAGTCTAAGATAAAAAAAAAATCACAACTGTATTATTATAAAATATTTATTATTTTATGCATAACCACCAGAATGCAAAATTAGCAAAATAATACTTACTGTTAACAACAAAACTGCAGTTGGCAAAATGCCTTCTGTAAGTGGTAGACATTTTTTCTGCCTTTTACAATAATAAATCTAATAAATTTAATGCTTTATTTTAAAGTTTTAAAAACAGCTGGCGTCATTTAACCTATATTTCCGTCACTTCCTGGATCTATTTTTCCACCGGTGAAGACTTTTACCTAGAAATGCTTTGGGCAATTTTTACTGCTGTTATGAGTAAGACTGAATATTGTGACACATTGACTTACAGTTGATCAAGTTGCTGAAGAAGGCGTTTGAACCTGTGCTGACTGATGTAAGGATTGACTGGTATCTGCCTGAAAACATGGAGGCTCTTCTGTCACCCAATGAAATTCCTCCGCTTTATGCTGGCAACTGTCTCATTGGCTACTGCACTCTGTATGATATGACCAGTTTCAAAACAAAAAAGATAGAGGTATGCTGTCATTTCTAATAAGGTGCATCTGTTTGTTAGCCTGGTAAATGGACTTGTAATTGTTACCGTGTTTAACAGATTCCAGAACAGGGCTTTAAAGGTGTTCATCGTGGCTCAACTGGGTCCGTTTTTGGACAATCAAATGATGAATTATCACCTCCTCCAACCTCTGAATTAATGCCTGTGGTAAAATGTGCAGATGGCAATGACTTAGAGGAAGCATTGAGGGAAATTTCAAGAGAAATTTCCTCTGAGTTCTCTTGTGCCAGAGACACAGACACTGGTACCAGCCCAGGTCAGATGACAATCAGTAGGAATTCCATTTTTCTCTTTGAAATTTTCTGGCATACTTAACAACACATTGTGTCCATCTGCTGTAGGTGCAGAACTGGATTGGTCTAATGATGTGATGAGGAGAATCCAGGAAAGTTCTTATATCCAGGAGCAGTATGTCCTCACTCGCTGCTCCATCAGCAGTGAGCGGGGTCTACAGATGCAGTCCCTGTCACTCTTACAGGCCTCATCCAACTCTGACTCAGCGGGTGTTGCCTTTCTGACTGATCCAGAGTCCTCTGGTTCAGCGTTGGACACAGGTTCTCTCCCTCAGGGCCTTGAAAAGATGCCCTCTCCAGAACAGAGATCCTCCCTTTCTCGCTGGGCAGACGCTGCCTTGCAGCAAAACCTATTGCCTGAAACTCAGGATAATGCGGCAAAAAAGGTGAAAATACATAGATGAATACAGTAGTACACAAGTACTTTAAAATAACTTTGGTTGAAATGATGCCACACGACATAAGTACTACAGTACTGTAATTGCGCTACCTCTAAAGACTGAGGAAACATTCGGTAAATTACTTCAGGATGCCATATTAGTACACAGTAGAGGGTAAATGCTCAATTGAGACACCAATTTATTAGAGAATATTTACAGAATGTTGTTGTTAGTCAACAAATCCAGAATAAAATACATAACCGTGTGACATTTTAACAATAACTTACCTAAAACTTCAGAAAACTCACTGGAAATATAGGACTTTCTCATGTCCCACTGCTTGGGATACTTTTGTTTAATATGTACACCAACATTCTAGCTCAGACTATCTAGTAATACTGTATATCTACAGTCACATATACCTATACACTGATGACAGTACAAATATATGACGTAGCCTCACCTGTTTTATTTCTCAATCTGTTCCAGAGTGTACGCATGGAGCAAGGTGGAGAGTTCCGTAGAAGACAAAAAACTCTGGTTCATTCAACTATGGCTGCAAGGAGTTTCTCGTCTCCACAGGGTGAGCTGGAGATGCATCGTCTAAGGAGAGCTCTGGAGAAGGTCTCCTTTGACCAGACGCTGGGAGGCAGGCTGGAGGAAAGTGATGGGGAAACAAAGCCCCCTTCAAGAGGAACACTGTCACGGAGAAGCCTCACTGACTCTAGTGAGACAGCACAAACACATAGTCAGGTTTGGTGTGTGCTTACTGTTCCACTTATTGGGTTTGTGTCACTCACTTTTTCATTCTGAACCTCAGATGGTCTTCTGTTTCCTGCCTCGCCTTTGGACTGGGACAACTTCACAGATCCAGAGTATCTCTTTACTGCGTTCCACCCAGTTGATCCTCCCCCCGGTCAGTGCCGCTCGCAAATCCATGGCCTTCTTGGTGGCAGGCCTGTGTCCTGGGAGGTCACTGTAGACCTGGGCCACCTCTGGGACTTTGAAGGACAGGAAACACCAGGGTCTGGTGGGTACGAAGGAGGGAGAGAGGAAGGAGTAAAGGGAGAGGAAACATGGCAGGAGTTAATTCACCAGCTGACTGCTCGGTCGGTCATAAGAGACTTTGAGAAAATGGCAGAGAAAGAAAGCGACAACGGACATGGTCAGATTTTTGTTTACTGTCACATAAAAACATATTACTGCTTATTATTTACAAACTTTTTTTGTCATTTTGATGCTTTTTAAGGTTCAACAAAGCGATACCGAGTGAAAGCTATTCAGACCAGCAAGCACTGTAACATCGTCAGCATGTACACAGCATTTACTACGACTGATGATAACACCAACAAAGTGTTGGCAGACAGCACAGAGGTCAAAAACACAGGTACAATTTCATTATTAAATCATACAACCTCCAAGCTACATATAAATGCCCACTTTGAAAGGATAATACGCAGGTAAACTCAAATGTGAAAAGTTTGCTATTACAGAGACTTATCTGTATCTGAATCTGTCTAGGGTTGCATTCTGGGAACAGGTGGAGTTCCCAGTCAGGAAGTCGAAGGCAAAGAACCTTTTCTGTAGGTCTTGGCAGACGGCGTTCCAGCAGAGGTAGTGAAGAGATTGAGGAAACCTGGAACTCCACGGGTAAATGGACTAAACTGCATAAAACACATCGTACATTTCAGAGGTCAACAACAGTCTTTGTATCCTGCAGACAAGGATGACACTCCTGCCTCACCGTGTAGCCATACGTCCTGGGACTCCAGTAAGTCTTGTAAGAGGAAAACAACATACAGTAGGTCTCATGTTAACAATGTCGTAACAGATGTGGTATTTATTAAAAATCTGAAAATGTTCTTCCTAAACAACACCTTTTTTGTTTATTGTTTTTCCCATGCTTCTGTCTCAGCTGCAGGGGGCAATGCAACAGCCACAGCAATAACAGGTTCTTCGTGCAATCGCTCACAGCGATCCATAGAGAGCAAGTCAATGGAGAGCTTCTTTGGTGGCAGGTAAAGATTTCAGTTTTATATATCATTAACCAGGGATTTCAAACACACTTCAAACTCAAAGCAAAATGTCATTTTTTTAAAATTCCACCTACTCCAGGTTTCCACTGGGCAGACTTAGATCTTCTATTTCATCAGGAAAGCAGATTCCTCTTAAGTCGCACTGTTTATCTGCGGAGACAGAGAAACAACCTGAAACTGAGGTCCCAGACTACTTACCGCTGGTGAGCAGTGGTCACTTCTCATCTTGATACCAACATGTATGTGAACTCATTCAGTACCGTGTCTGTTCTCGCTGCGTCTTCAGGTGCGTCTGCAGCTGGCATCGGGAGCCTTTCTGCTGACAGAGAACTACTCGGACTGCGTCCAAATTCCTCTAGACCGACTAAAAAGGGCTTCACCTTACAGCCTTCACCGCCGGAGCCTTAGTCCACCTTTCCGCTGCACATCCCCCAGTGCTCCATCTCTTTCCACCACGGCTAAGCCCCAGGGTTTACAGAGTCACCATGTTACTCACTCTTCTACTACCTGTGTCCTCTCCAAGACCAGTGCCCCTCCTTTTCATCACACTCCTGACAACACTCCATTGATGCTGGAACCGAGGCTGCGCCGAAGACGCCTGTCTGAGCGAGAACCTGTCACCTCGCAGCCCGACCTCCCCAGTTTGGAGGAGGACTTCCTGGAGGAACCAGCTGACCTCTATCAGAGCCAGAGATATGGTCAGGCAGATAGTGGTCGTGGATCGGAGACAGACGTTTGTGAAGGCTACCTGATAGAGCAAGCTTTCCTCCAGGTAAACTGCCAGTTGGCTCAAGAGGATTTAGAGGGCTCAAGCTGGGCCACGGCTGTGGCTCTGGCCTGGCTCGAGCACCGCTGTGCAGGTTTCTTCATGGAGTGGGAGCTGGTAGCAGCAAAAGCAGATTTCTGGCTGCGCTGTCAGGAACTTCCCGAGGGACTGGACCTGACAGGGCTGAAAGGAGCGGCCAGACAGCTGTTCCTGCTGCTGCGCCACTGGGATGAGAATATCAAACTGAACATGCTGTGTTACAACCCCAATAACATGTGAGACAATCAGACCTGAGGAAACTGAGCTACAGTAGAATGAAATACTCACTACTAACGACTGTGATTCCAAATTGTTATTTTTCCTGCAGGTTCACCTAACACCTAAAGTAGTGCCAAGTTGATTTCACTATTGTGTTGCACATTAAAGAATCCTGATGTGATCCCATTACGACGATGAGAAGAGAAACCTTAATATTGCATAGACCAAGTGACCTTTTGTTATACGTATACTTTATGCAATCACATGAATGCCTTGACCTGAATGGGCTGTTGTTGAATCAGTTTTAGCTTCTTGTCAGTCTGTCTGTCTGTGTTGAATAATAAAATGTCTAATTACTATCAGTTACTGCAAATTAGATGCTGATGGGTTTAAAAATCAGAATAATTATTTGATAAATTAATATGTTTCTTTAATCTCTGTGAATTGTTTGGGCATTTTTAAGACTATGGATTTAAATGTTGTAATGTTTCAACATTCACTAAAGAGAAGTAACTAACATTGTTAATACAAAGGAGCATCTCTTTATTTTAAAAATGTTTCAGTCTGCTGATTTTTATTTTAAAAATGTTTCAGTCTGCTGTAAAATAGGCGCTAATGATTGAATTGATCGCTGCCAAAATAGGATGATACATTTATAAAGCAAATCAGGGAAGGGGTGGAAGTTCTTGGCAAGCTTTCTGTTTGGTACAGGAAGAATGATTACAGCAGCAAATGGAAATGTCACAGACCATTTTTTCAAAAATTGAACAACCCTCAATAAGTCTTTAAAATTTTTTGATATATTAAATTTAATCTACATCCTTATTGATGAAATTGACATTAAATATCATTCAATTATCCACAATTGCAACTAATTCAATTTTGGCCAGACTGTAGCTTTAACTCACCCAGTAATAAATATTTTCTAAAAAGAGAAATCATCACAGCTTTTCAGTAACACTGCACTAGACTACTGTTATATATTGGAAAAATGAAACCTGAGAGTATTGTGGTTCTTTCTTTTTGTGTCTTCAACCAAAAGACACATTTCATCATTTGGGCAAAGAGTACCCACATGTTCACTTCATTCACTTTCAGCATTGAGTTGAGGGAGAAGCACCAAACGGCTCATTTTCTTTGTGTATACCCAGTACAAACCATGACCTCCTTCCTTGATCTTTTTCTGCCGCTGAAACCGATCTGGCACTCAGTGGCGTTTGTCTTTTACAGTTCTATGTTGTTGTTGCGAGTCTGCGGGGGATAAATGCAGAGGCGGTGCCATCCAAAGACACAGGAGAATGATGAGATGGCAGACGTGAAGTAAAGCCGAGCTGCCGTTAGTGGAGGGGTAGGTGTTCCAGGAGAGCTCAATCAAACCCAGAATCAGCACCCTGGACAGAGGGATAGGACAAAACCTGAAGAACATGGGACAGAGTTTGTATTGGGTTGATGTGTGTGGGAGTTTATCCACACACATACCTGAGCAGATGGGCCATCTTCTTCACTCCTCCACTCCAGAGCAGGTAAGGCAGTGTGTGAAAGTACCAGACATAAAACTGATAGTGCAAGGAACGACTGAAGCACATGCCGATAAAGTTGGAAGTGAAGAGGATCAAGACAACCTGTGTCCATCTGTTAAGGTCCAACACTAAACCAGTGACTTTTTACACATTCTTAGACATAAAAATATCAGTTTTTATTTGGCACATGATAGGAAATTGTTGCATGTTAAACAAAATTAAATTAAATATATACATCCAAATGTCACAGAAGGATATGATCCACTGTGTTCTTCTGTGGTGGGATTTTCCTCCTTCCGGGCTCCTTTAGCAGCTCAAAAACACCTTCTCCTGGTCTGATAAAACAGAAAAGAGGAAGGAAGGTTTCCCACAAAACAGTTGTTTGTCTCTTGCTTACATTTGAAAATAATAAAGTTCATCTTACTTCTTCCATGAGTGAAGAGCAAAGAGCAGCAAGGTGAGCAGGTGGGCAGCCAACAAGGCTAGATGGAAGTACCGATTTAAAAAGAGCCATTCAGGCAGGAAACGCCAGTTCACTGTCCACTGGAACATAAACTGACGACCAAGATCAAAAGCCCGACTCAAGTAACCGGCGGGATTCTCCAGAAGAAAAGGGAGGCCCAGTAAAAGCTGATAATAATAGAAAAGTATTAAAAATGTACATACTATAACATCAAGTGGAGTTATTGTGACGAGCAATATTTACCTGTATCCCTGCGCAGAGGGAAAGTTTTGGGATTGTCTTGATAAGACCAAACTCAGAGAGAAGCAGGAAAAGAAGCCCAGGGGCAAATAGGAGCACATTCATTTTTACAGACACAGCTAAACTGTCAGAAAGAGAGGAAGATTTGAGTTTTAATTCACAGTAAACATTCAATATTGTGAAAGTCAAAATTTCATTGATAGACAAGAGGGTGTCTTTCGTAAATAGCACAGACTTGCCTGAAGACACCACAGCCCACAGTCCAGTATCCATCCATGAAGAGATTGATGGCTGCAAACAGCAGCATCATCGCCACTGGGTCATTGAAGAGACGCAGCACAAAGATGGAGTGGATTCTATAGGAGGCGCAGCACACAAAGAAAAACACATAGGGAGGAACCTGGGGTAAAGAAAGACACAAAAACCACAGTTAAAGTCACAGACTTAAGTAGAACATCAATTAATTAAGAGGTTTCATGAAAATGTCGTTTTTCTTCATTGAACCACTGACCTTTTTAGTTCGGTTATATATCCTGAAGACCAGCAGCAGAGTGATGAGGTAGAATGCAGCAAAAATGTACTGCCCCAGACGTATGTTTGTGCCGTGGTTGGTGATGTAATAAAGAGCAGTGAAGATGTAGACAAAGCCTGCTGGGTACCTGCAACAACAAGATGCTGATTTATGGTCTGCCTCCACAATTATCATTTTATACAAGAGTATGTACAGAAGATATCAACAGCCCACTGGCTATTTTAATCAAATTCACCGTGCTTTGTACTTGATCATGTGCTTTACTATTAGATTTCTGCTCTTTGCAGGATTACGCAATAGTTTGACAATGACATGATCAACATACCACATGCTAATGAACAAAAGACATTCAACATTGAAACTCACACAAGGGGGCCTGTGTCTCCTTTAAGCTGAGTGTAGTCGTAGGTGCCATTGATGACGCCTTCCACTTCATCCATGTAGGCCTTCCAGTCTATCTCTGTGTCTGCAATTATAATAGTCAATTTAATGATAGGAAAACTGTACATACACTCAACAATAACAGTATAATTCTAATGACAATAATTGTCATCAGACTTCATATTTTCAATAATTTTGAATTGTATATCATTGACGTTTACTTGCCTTTCATTGATTTATTGTTATATATTATATTATTATATTTATATATAAATCACTGACACGGTTATATAGTTTGGGGCAGCAGTTGTTAATAGTTGTGACAATTTCTATTGGTTCTTGTAGAAAAGTTGTTGAATAAAATTGCATAAATCCAGTTCTAAAGGGGAAAAATAAACATCCCTGACAAACAAATATGTCTGGGGTTTACACTTTAACATTAAACTTAGTACGTTTAACATATATGCACGCACTTTTGCAGGTTAAAAATGTTTTTAAGATGCAAAACTATTTGGAAAATAGCGCCATGACTAGTATAGTGTATTTACTGGTAGAGTAGTCTCCTGAAACAGGTGCTATTAGCATAGCACAATTATGCTATTAGCAGGACTCGCTAATGCTACCGAGTTAGCACTCATGTTTGTTCAGAAAGGCAACAAATCAGTATAGCATGCTAACTAGCCACTAGGCAACTTACATGCTACTTTCTGTATGACCCAAGCATTAATGCCGATTTCCAGGAACCACAGAACTGAAACCACCAGTAACGTGTATTCCGTTTTGAAAGGAACCATGTGTTTGTCCTGCCACAGAGAATGCAGCTTCCCCCATAGTGGGGAAGAAGTGGAATTGGGAGACTTTCTCCTTACGCCTGGTGCCATCTCTGCCGAGTGCAGATCAGTGAGATCACGTCTGACGTGGAGAGAGTAGTACCAAACAGCGCATGGGCAAACAACGTCACCGGTTATTACGCTACCACTGTAGGTATCACGTGACACGCACAACTCCCTTGTATCGAAATGAGGAGTTGAGACGTTTTACTTTTTCCTGACAGGTAAAAACATTCCCTCTTTTCACCCCTGCTGACAAAAAGACACGTTGTATGTTACATATTGATTTAAACGTCGTCTACACTAAATATCAGGTGGAACAAAAAATCGTGGTCTTTGTTGAGCCCATCATAGTATTACGATAGCAAGTGAATTGACAGTTGTTGATAGTCGTAAAGCGTAAGGATTTACGATAGTTTTCGTCTATATCCGCATTTCGTAAGAGACATAGAGTACTCTGGAATATTACCGATCGATAGTAAAACCCCTGGAACTCCAGCAGCTAATACATGCCTGTACCGCTTTTGTGCAATGACGTTTGCTTATAATGGACAATCCTGGTTATTAAAAGCCTTTAATTCGCTGCCTTCATTTTTTTTGTACACAAAGATGGAACCACCTGCTTCACTGTAATACACATGCTGCCCCTGACGTACAGTATATTTCTCATTCTATCTCGTCTATTACTGAACTTCCCAGATGACTGAGAACCTGCATAGACATCTATAGATGTTTGAATACTTTCAGATCACAATTAAAGGAGAAATACTTACAATTTTTAAGAGCACGCAATTTAACAGTATTATTTCATGTCATATTTTTGTGCAGATTCTGCCCATGCAGCAGACACAGGTGACTGAAGACGATGGATGGATTTTCCATGAGAATTCCAGAGGCCGTGTGTCTCGGTGCCAGCCTTACCCTTTCAGGCATCTGCTTTTATCTGTACAGGAAGAGTCGGACAACAGTTGACAAACTTGATGTAAGTTCAGCATCATGGGCGATGATTAATATACGTACCTTTACATTTGTTGTGCTCTCTAAACTGTGGGCAGGAAAATAATAAATTTAAACTTTTATATCTTTCCCTCAGCAACAACTAAAGTCTGTTCTTGTCTGTTGACAGGATGCACCACATTTCCCTATAGACAGAAATCTCAACGACATTTTGAAAGTAACTCCAGGAGCATGTCTACAATATGTGGTCATTGAAGGTAATTTAGATTTCAGTGTCCAAGATACACAGCATCTTAGTTACATCTGTCTTCATTTACTTATCCCTTGTTCATATTGATGCATTGTGAATGTACTGCAGGTGCTGTGCAACCAGTAGGCGAGACTCTTGTAAGTCACTTCCACAAAGAAATTACTGGTGTGTTGCAGAAATACCTTTTGAGACAACAGCGCCTGGTGTGGAATCCTTTTTCAAGAACTTGGTGAGGATACAATCGTTGCAAATGATAATTTTGTAAATAAGTCATATTCAGTTCCCTAAAAACACTCAATTGTGCCTTTCTGATCCATGTTGCAGGACAGACAGTGAGAAAATAACACTGCAGAGAATGAATGAAGTGCCCTTCGTCTTAGTGGGTTCAGATCAGACAGCAGTTAAAGTCCTGTGTCCTGTGCAAGCCTCTGGAACCCATATGGAGATCATCCACGAGAAGTTTCATCAGGTTAATTACAGCTTAGGTGACATCGTAGGACAGTACCTCACTGGGGAGAAACTTAAAGGACAACTGGAGACTGAAGAAATGCTCAAGGTAGGTGCTTAAATGGCATTTCAGCACCTGTAACAAATAAATATATATATTTATATGATTAAATTTTTTCCTCCAGGTGGGTAAAACTCTGACCGGTGTTGGTGAGTTGATCATGGACACAGACGGCTCCCTCAATCTCCGCCCTCCTTCTAATAGCTCACATTACTTTTTGAGCATCATGGACTTTGACACTCTGAAACAGGAGCAGAAGGATATGGTCCTTTGGTGGAAGATGGTAGCCATCGCCTCCGTCGTAGTGGGTGCAGCGGTCGTCTTCTCGGTCGGTTGGCGCTACTACAAACATCTAAAACACAGACGAAATCTCGAGCAGGCCCGCAAGGAATTTGAAAGACTGACAGCTGAAGCCTCTGGAGCACCTCCTGCTGGAGCAGCAGATGATCTCGTAGAGAACGCCTGCATAATTTGCCTCAGTAATCAACGAAACTGCATCCTGCTTGACTGTGGCCATGTTTGCTGCTGCTTCAGCTGCTACCAGTCTCTGCCACGACACCTGTGTCCCATCTGTAGACAGGACATCAGGAGAGTGGTGCCACTGTATCATGTGTAAAACACCTCAAATCTAAAAGCTGCATCTTTAATCTCCTCATTGGTTTGAAGGACGTTAATCAACATACTGTATAAAGTTTATTTAAAATAATCAGTAATAAAGGACAGTGTCATTTTTGAGGTAAATAATTGTGCAAATAAATGTTCGTGCTGAAAACGTTATTTTTCTACATAACCCTGTGCCTACATTGGTAGGTTAGGTAACTGCTGCTGCCTCTGTGTGACGGTACTGTATGTAAATAACATTCCTGACATAAGGTGATTTGTTGACAGAATATTATGTTTATCAGGACTTGGATGCAGTGTGTGAAAAACTTTATTGGTAAAATAAAATCGATTTATATTAACATTCTATAATTTTTCTATATAAAATTATATAAATATTACCATTAATATTAATATTTTTTCCTATGTTAGCACATTTCCCAGATATCCTGGTTGTAAACATTCATACATGTACCACCGTTGTACGTGGCCTATGTATTTACAAACTTGCAGTGAGTTGCAGTAAATGCACACTATAACTACTTAACATCAGGAAGTGCTTTATTCCTGAATAGACGTGTTATTCACATTACTCTCCCAGTGACATTAATGAGTAGCATTAGCACACACTCACACACACACACACAATCACAAAGTGCTTGTTGACAACACCTGGTGTTTAAAAGGATTTTGGTGTGGTGAGTCACGTGCCGTGCTATTTCTGTCATTCTGACAGTCGGTGAAAAGACTTGAAGGGCTGCAGACAGATGGAAAGCAAAGAGGCACCCATGTGTGTTTGGCTTGGTGGAGGTAAAGGAGGGCGGTGCAAGGTGAGGAGTGGGGCATCGGGGCTGAGTGTGGGGTGTAAATAGAGCAGGTGGGCGACATAGGATCCCATAAATCTTCCTCAGCAGTCATAAGGGCTCACACTGACACATTCTTTATGAGCCCTCTCAGCAGAACAGCAGATGTGTCTCTCGGGGAACAGACTATTTCTGTAGCAGCCACAGACTTCAGACAGCATGGATGAGAGCAATTAGATGAGATGAGAGGGTTTAGATGTGTTGACTTCAGAGAAATTAATGATTTGAATTGGATTAGGAGAGAGAGTTTTTCTCACATAGGCCTATAGGGACGTAAATGCTTTAAAAAGTACATTCAAACATAATATAATGTTTGGCACCGTAAAAATTAGTCAGTCTGAACTGGGATAAGAATTTGATATTTCTACCACAAGGTGTCCACATTTGTTCACTCACAAGCTGCAGCACTGGACTGACTGTGAGGGAGAACAGACGACTGAAAGACTTCTATCAGCTTTTCAAATAAAACCATTGCTTTGTATTGAGCATTTGTTTGTTTGTGCAATTTATTTCAAATATGCAAATAGAACATGGCTTCTTGACTACCATCAAAAGACATGATCTAATTTACAAGGGCATTACAACTCATACAGTAAGGACACTCGTATATATAAAAAAAAAACAAAACATTTTTTACCTTGCTGATGTCTCACAGCTTAATATTACTAGATGCACTTCCTGATGTCATCCTCTAGGGGCTGGAGTATGAAAAACAATCTATGTTTAGGATCCCCCCTGAGGAACACCAGGGCACAAAGTTGGATTATAAATCCAATGGTTAAATGGAACACAGGCTCCCAAACCGAAATAGAACATATATGATATTTCTATAGCATAATGTCAACTGTAATTGTATAAAGTTAAGCCTAAATCATATTCCTCACCTCTGTGTTTTATTTATTTAGGGACTTAATTTTGTTTAGGACTTAACATAACAGAAAAATAAGAGTTTCTCTCTTTGAAACTCCGATCCTTGACAATTCAGTCACAATGCCTTCATTTGAATGACCTGTGACGTGACAGGCACATGATTATCAAAAGCCTTGTCTCTATTTGTGTGTGACTCAGATCAGTGGGATGGGGTGGAGTGTGCTTTGACTTTGGCTGTCAGACATTAGCAGACGCTCCAGCAGACAACAGGGAGATGTGGTTTCTCAGGAGGGAGCGCCATCACAGCATGCAACAGTCCCTGACGCCAATTACCGCTGTCACCCATCTGCTTCGACCGTGCAGCCATAACATAAGACAAATGACCTACTTCCCAGCAGAGGCGTAACCACACAGGGACTTTTTTTTATCAACAAACTGATCCTGGGTTGGTCCCATACAAACACTGGTCTGTTCGGCTCTCCAAGATAAGCAGATTATGTAGGATTGGTTTTGAGTCGGCCATTTCTTTTCAATAGAAGGACAACAGTGGACTTACAATAGAGACATTGAAAATTAAAAATCAGACTTCAACCCTAACTCGAACATGTATCACAAATGTTCACAGTGAAATATAACCTCTGTTAACTTACAAACGTCAACGTTGAGACATAACATCCAATATGACTGCAAAACACGATAGGTTATTGACTGGTTAAATAACAAAAAAATCCCTAGCTATAAATACCAAGAGACAATGACAGATATACACTGAGATTGTCCCAGTTATGCAGGGTCACGATGTAATTCTGCTACTAATAAGACGATCCATAAGTGAGGAAGTAAGGGCTAAAAATGCCTGTCTCAGCAAAACATTTTGAATTTGTCTTTGAGAGTCAGTAAGACAGCGGAAGGACACATCCCTGACTTTGGCCACAGTATTGATGTAAATTGACTCAGTCAATAAATACGGAGCAGCGTCATGACTTATTTAGATTTGTTTTTGAGCTCAAGGTGGAAAAGGATCATTAGGGTGAGAGATAATAATTTACCTTAAGGTCAGGGGTTCAATCCCTGGGTATTCTTAGTGAGGTTTTTCACAAAAGTCTGATTATCGAATTGCTTTTTGTCCACAGTGTAGCCTTAAAGACAAACAGACAAAATTATAATAAGCCAATAAACACCCGTCAGTTCCAGTTACACTGAGTATTTGTCCTCAGCCAGTGATCTACAGGCTGGAGCTCTGCCAATGTTCTTACAATCTTTTTTGGAGGGGAGGGTGTTTATGTGGGAAAACAAACAGCATTAATCTTTGTGACGTCAGTTCGTTTCACAACTGCAGCTGGTGCGTCTTTCTGCTTATGCTCTCAGTTACATTTTTAGCCTTTTTATGATACCTGCTCCCCCCCTTCTCTCCCGCTCTCTCCCTCTCTCACACACAAACACACAGAACTGATACACAAAACAATTGATCCTGGCTCTGAGTTGCAGGCCTGTTAGCGGTGTTTTTCCTCAGCTAGTGCTTCTCAAGGAGCAAAGTGTGTGTAAATTTGGTAGAGCTTGTTCTGCCCTGGGGGAGAACATGGGGAGAGGGGTAAGTGACTCAGCACACTGAAATTATTTGTAATTGGAGGCAGCGCTTCAGGAGCACACACACACACACACACACACACAGGGGTGTTTTCGTTAGATATTATGCCAGTCAGTTTCAAGGCCAGATCGTTGACAACTGCTGTCGACTAGAGAGGAATCAAAGGTCACTCGAACCAAAGTGTGACCAAATGAGGGGCCTTTACTTTCAAGTCCGCTACCTTAGAGGCAGTGCATTATCAGAGGCTTAGGTAAGACAGAAAAAAAAAACCCAGCAGCTTTTTTAAAAATAGTGATCCTACCATGTCAGGTGGGATCTCTCCCTCCGCTGTCTAACTTTGTCACGGAGCAATGTCGTCATGTGAATTCACTGGCCCCTGCTTGAACCGGGCTGCATTAATCAGATGCTCTATGTGTCGACAGCCAGTAGCTGCTACTTTATGGGCAGTCGAAGCTTTGTGAGTCATCTTGGAAGAAATTACATTTAGACAGAGTAGTAGGTGCATGATTTATGGTGGAGTGACGATCGAAGACAGAGACAAATCAAATCCAATCTGTTTCCTTCCCAAACCACAAATTCACAAATTCACTTTACAATCTTTATGTGATACAGACGACACCTGACCTAAAACCCTAACCTTTATACAGTAAGAAACAACCCCCAGACCAAAAAAAATGAAAGAAGAGGTGAAGAATTAAAGAAGAAAGGTTTGGCATTGTGTATCAGTATCTGATCATAATTCTTGCAACTCATTCCATAATTTTGCAAATGTTGCTAATGGCACTCCTTGAAACGCAGCCATAAGCCATTACAGCTCATATACATAATATTTAAGAACTGTAAATGCCATGGCTGACATGGCCTTTTTGATGATATGTTACAAATAGCAATATTCTAACAAACACTTCTAAAACCTGTTGTTGATGCTCAAGAAAAAGTCTTATTATTTTGCGTGCCGTTACTACTACCTTAATACTGCTCTTGAGCTACAGGTCCACGTTGTGTCTCTTTGTGAACCAGGGATTCCCAGGCAGCACTTCAGCAGAGGTTTTTCCATGTTTATAGTCCGGTCAGCTGGTCCAAGCTGTTAAACCAAGGTTGATCTAATAATAAACATTCTGTCGCTTTAATATTCTAGCGTTTATGATGCACCATATGCTGTTAGGACAGCAGGTTGTACAAATGTTGTCAAACAGCAGGGGAAATTTACCGGACATTGGACAGAGTTAATATATTAATCAGCTCTGTCCGTGGTGCTGAAATGATGCACATCGATTTACCTGAACCAAACAGGACTGGCCCAAGAAACCATCATGCTTATGTAATAGTAATGTCATTTCATTTCAAAGTAGAAAGTATAAGTAAACATATATTTAATAAAAAGATGACAGAGCTCCTTATGATGTCACGCATACAGAACATAATGCCTTGGAGAAAATCCTATGTCCTCTGAATGACTCTGGGCTTGCAGACATTATCAAGGTTATTGAACTGAATTCCAAGAACAGAGTTTGACAGTGGCACCAGACCCAAGTCTCTGACAGGTCTTTTTATACAAATGTACGGAGGTCTGAGAATTCAGGTTGTCCTACAGAAGAGTGTCTACATTTACTGACTCACTGACTTACTGAACTGAATGTTCAGAATATTCAGCAGCACTCCTCAAGGCAGGTGCTGGCACCGACATGTCCTTCCAAAAGAAAGAATACAGAACAGAGACAAATCAGTCTGATTTAGAGGTTACCTTTGAAGCTGAATCTTAAAATGGAATAATGCACTGTCATGGTCATCTACTGGATGTCTCAGCATCCTGTATGAAAATGTTTTCACCTTGTTCAGACCTTTGGCTTTATACAGAACATGTGTGTGTTTACATACTTAATTATAATATCTAATACCTGTTATCAGTATGTGTTAGCGTTTTCTGCACCTCTGTCTTGAGTAGAAGTGGAGTTGTTTCTTTCTTTCTGTAAACTTCCATTCCTATGAAGGACTTTTACACCTCTTATTTTTCAGACAGTTGAATCACAGACAAAACAAGGCATTAACTAGCGTCTAGCCAGGTGTTCTAGAATCCTTAGACACATTTTATTACTTTTCTGTAACATTTCATCATGTTACAGAATCGCTCATCATTTCCCTCTGCCTCAGTTCCTGAAGCGCTGTCATATTGTGACACTTTCTTCATACCATCCTTGTGAGGACTGACTGTCTGTGTCTCTGTGTTAATGTAACTACGTTCACCTGTGCCGTGGGTTTTTCTTGTACTTCAGTCTCACTCCTCTGACCCAGTTCATTTAAAGTTCTTACCAAAACAACAGAGAAATTAATTTGATGTTTCTGATTGTTTTAAAAATACAAAAAGGCAATTTTGTTTCTAGCCTGATGGTGTCGCTCTTGGCCCTCTACTACTGGAAGTCAAAACACACACACAGACACAAATACACACAGACGCACACACACACACACAGTGCTCTTCAAACCCGGATGGATGACTTCATCCCTCAGCCTGGGTTTCCTTTATGATCCCGGGATCTCCCACTTCCCTCAGCAGACTCCATCCAGCAGCAGTGAAGAGAACATCTCACTCCTTCACCTCCTCTCTCCCTCACTCTTTCTCTCCTTCTGACACACACATACATACACACACACACACACACGCACATATACCAGCGTCTCTACCTGCAACTGCAACACATTCACAGACCACACACACGGTGAGAGAGAAGATCTCAGCTGGAGACGCAGAGACGCACCGTCCGCTGTGAACCTGCACCAAATCTCTGGATCTACGACCGCGTGAGCACCGAGGACAACTTCATTTTTTAACCCACCGAGAAAAGCTGCCTTTGTTTGTGCCAAAATGTCCGAGGTGCTGCCATACAACGAGGGCAAAATGAGCGGCTACGGCGCGGACAGCGAGGTCAGCCAGATGTCCTTTAGCTGCGGACTGCAGGACACGAGCGCTTTCTTCGCTGCGTCGCAGGCGAAGAGACCTCCAAAGCTTGGACAGATCGGCAGAGCCAAACATGGTAAAATGACTTGTTCTATTAGAGGCAGCCAAAAATATATATGCAATTAAAGAGTGGGTTTTAAGTCGATCCTTTTAATGGAGTTCATAATTTTCTCCTATGTCTGTAACATGGTTGACTGTTTACACACAAAGAACAGAGGACACACCCCATGTTGTATTTACCTCCACCATCAAACATTAACTATGAAAATGACAAACTTCGCAGAATAAAGCGTGAATGCGATGAATTGGCTGATTGATCGATAGATTATTGAACTGCAACAACACATGGACATGTTTTCAGTCATTGCTTTGGTTCCAATTACATTAGTGATCATCCTCATCTTCTTCATCATCATCATCATAATAATGGTTGTTTTCCCTCCACAGTGGTGATCGAGGATGACCGAATAGACGAGGTCCTGAAGGGGATGACAGACAAGTCTTCACCAGGTGTTTAAACACAAACAACGCCTCGCAGACTTTTTTAATTTCAGTCACCGATTTGAAGCACTTGTCGGCTGTGCATGTTCGAGGATTGCAGGAGAAGACACGGAGGGCACCAAGCGAGGATGGGATGAAGAAAGGGAACTGTGAAAGAAGAACGGAGGGTGGATTGAATGGAGAAGAGGGAGCTGGAGAGCTGAAGAGGAGAGAGAGAGAGAGTATGGAAGAAGGATGAGGACGATAGGAAGAGAGACTTTAAAAAAAAAAGACCAAGCGTTGTCCTGGGATTGCTGGCAATTCTTCAAACGAATCCAGACTGGAAGTGTTACTGCTGCGCAGCAGGATGTTGAGATGGCGGACTCTGCTCTGCGTCTCAACCTCTGCTGACTTTAGAGATGTATGAACTTGTCATTACTTCACCAACCATCTTGTTTTTACTTTGTCCGGCAGCGCTTACAGACACAAAATACTGCGACTGGAGGTTGAAGCTTGAACCCCAGCCCTGTTACAATAAGTTGTACAGTAAAGTAGTGGCTCTTTAAGCTCCCAGACGCC